AATTAAACGTAAATATTGTAAAATCACGCAGGAGGGTTTATCATAACGCCTACGCACTGCTAGAAAGTGTGGGGTTCTACATAAATCCCCCCAGACTCTGCGTGTGGCCTCTTGCACGATTTTATATTTCCTGCTGCATCATTTTTGCTCTTTCGTTTTGCGCAAAAGCCGGTGGGTGAGCCCTCATCGATACTGTAAGTACCATGGTATATTTGGAGGAGTCGAACTTACTTGCAAGAGCCCTGCTCCTATTTTATTCACGTTTTTGCTGACATTTTTTGCCAAGAAAGTGCTGATGTCCCTTTCTTCGTCAATGCCACCTCTTATGGTGGCTAATGTTAGAAATTAGCAGCTTACATTGTATCGAGGGAGTATCCATGAACGAGGTATAGACACTTTGTCCTCACGTATTTAACGCTAATTCTGTGCGCTCAGCCGATTAAAAACGGGACATTGTGGTAGGGAATGGTGGACGATACGTAAAAAATGATATCGTATTATACGCTATTTCGGGCGGAATAGCGTATCGCAACACTTGTTTGCGCCGATAGATTGCAGTCTTTTATAAAAGGATTTGTATGTTAAATAAGAGGTGGCATAACTATACACGGATATAATGTAGACCACACCACTGTACCGCATTGTAGACTTGCGCACACCATCTCAAGACGGACGACGTGGAGCTCGTAGGTTAAGACACGGAGCTGCGCCACCACGAAGCTACGTCCCGTGTATGACAGCAGGTGGTACCTCTTCATATGGTTAAAGCTACCGAGGATTATATCGATGCTTGCAGACAGCACCAAGTGGAGGAATCAACTCGTGTTTTCCCATCGAAAACTGCAACTTCTATGAGAATAATGACTGCTGTGTGGACAGTGTGTCTGCCCGCGATAGCAGCAGTGTTGGCCAACCGAGGGGGGCTAGGTCGCATTACATTGAAAGGGAACGCCTTCCCGGGCGATTTCAATGTGGTGTCTCGACATCTTGTTCAGTGTTGAATGCATTTTGACACGATCGTTGTGCAGACTGCTGGAGCAAGTTGTCGTTGCCTTCTCAAACCTGATACTCAGAGTTAAGCAAAGATGTATGCGGGCAAAAATGCTCTGGTAAATTTACGGTTTCAATTTACCGTAATGGATGTTCGCCGCTCGCATCGCTCTACGGCTTTCGTAAAATACGTGAGCAAAAAACGTCTAACATCTAGCGAGTTCCGCAGTACCATGGAATTAATCCCTTGGGGGCTGTCTATACCTTAAGGTATTCCTTGCGGTGGGGCAGCCGTAGCTAAGCGTCAGACGCAGACGTACGACTCCAAGAGTCCCTAAAACTAAGTTCCTTATCTGAAGGAAACTTACAGCCCAAGAACAGGGATCAAAGTTATTAAGAACACTAATAACTTTTATTCTTCAAAAACAGAAGTGTTTTATT